AGAACATGTCTGAAGTGTCTAATGAACTCCAATCTTACCCTCACACTCTCTGGCAGGTTCTAGGCCATGATTTGGGTGCCCCAGCTCCAGTCTGAACCTCTTTACCCCCCAGTGGGTTCTAACTACTTTCTCTGGCTCCCAGCTCACTCTCTTTCTCTCTCATGGGTTCTAGGCTACCTTCATGGTGTTCCAAGCCTTAGCCCAATACCAAAAGGATGTCCCTGACCACAAGGCTTTGGACCTCGAGGTGTCCCTCAAACTGCCCAGCCGGAGTTCCCCGGTCAAGTACCGCCTCGTCTGGGAATCGGCTAGCCTCCAGCGGTCAGAAGAGGTACAGCCACCCAGCCAACCCCTGCCTACTCTCACCCTGCATGCCAGCCAGGGTTTGCAGGAGGGAGGACAGATGACCATCATAGTCAGGGGAAGGCTTGGTTCCCAACACCCTCTCTTCTCTCTCCCCACTCTCTGCAGACCAAGGTAAATGAAGGTTTTACATTAACTGCTGAAGGAAAAGGCCAAGGCACCTTGTCGGTAAGAAACAGGAATAAACCACTTTCTCTTGGCCCCTGTCCTCTGGAGGAACCCTCCACTTCCTGTCCTCAGCTGTCCCAAGTCCCATGAGCTGACACTTTTTCTTTCTCCCATATTATCAGGTGGTGACAATGTACTATGCCAAGCTCAAAGACAAAAGCACCTGCAAGAATTTTGATCTCAAGGTCAGCATAAGCCCAGCACCTGAATCAGGTAAAATAAGTAAAGGTTCTATCTGTCACCTCCTCCTCATTCTAATGTCTGCCCCCCCATCCTGAATCATGTCCCGGGACATTCCCTCCTATCTTTGTCTTCTATATTTCTAGTCAGGAAGCCTGAAGATGCCAAGAGGACTATGGTCCTTGACATCTGTACCAGGTAAGACGTGAGGCCATTGGGGTTGATCTTGGCCATTCCTGTCTCTGGCAAGACTTCTTACAAACAATATCTGTGATATTCCATACTTCCC